CCTGGCTGGGTGGCGCTGTGGAAAGTTACAGGTCCCAGAGATCCTTCCATGCCTGTGGCCCATCATACTGACTGCTACCAGCACAGAGGGGGACCAGGGTTCCCCATTTCCCAAGGAGGAGACGTCCCTGGAGATAAGGATCTTTGAGTGATCAGGAATGGAACATGCAGTCTCTTTGAATTTGAATGTTCTTCTACCCTGGACATCTTAGAGGGTGGGCAAGGACCAAACCTCCGATCCAGTCTGAGTCCTAGATTGTCTCTCAGTTTCAGTTGAGAATACTCCTCTCACGGCACACAGACCCTGAGTCAGGGACGGCCCTTAACATTCTCCTCAGAGACTTCCATCTCCTTTTCAGCTCTACCACAAATAGCTCTTATGACAGAAGTGTGTCAGGGCCGTGAGGTGTGACAGAGAAAGAATGTGTCCAAGGTCAAAAGGGGGAGACATAAGCTCCTTCCAGGGCTTCCTCTCCCAAGTGTGTGGCCCTGGATACCAAATAAGGTCCCACAGTGCCCATCCATCTTGCCACAAACGGCAGGATCTCCTTCTTTTTAACAGCTGAGTAGTCTGAATAGTATTTATCTATAATTATACATATAATTATATACATATTTACATACTTCATTTTCTTTTTTTTAATTGGAGTATTTTATTGAAGTATAGTTGATGTACAGTGTCATGGTATTTTTGGTCGAACAACATAGTGATTCAACAATCAAATATATTATGAAATAATCACAACGAATCCAATAACCATCTCTCACCACACAAAATTATTGTAGTATTAGCAAATATATTCCTTGTGTGGAATATTACGTACTCATGGCATTTAATTTTAAAACTGGAAGTTTCTATCTCTTAATCCCCTTCACCTATTTTGCCCAACTGTACCCCCCTCCCTTCTGGAAAACACCAGTTTTCTCTGTGTATCTATAAGTCTGTTTCGGTTTTGTTTTGTTTGTTTTGTTTTTCTGATCACCCATATAAGTGAGATCATATATTTGTCTTTCTCTGCGTTACTTATTTCACTTAGCATAATACCCTGTAGGTCCAACCACATTGTTGCAAGTGGCAAGATTTCATTCTTTTCTTTGGCTGATATTCCATTGTATATATATCTATGCTTCACCTCTTCTTCATTCATTCATCTGTTGATGAACATTTAAGTTGTTTTCATGTCTCGGCTATTATAAACACTGTTGCAATGAACATAGGGGTGTGTGTATCTTTTTGAATTTGTGGGTTTTTCTTTTTTTCCTCTTTAGGTAAATACCCAGGCATGGAATTTCTGGATTGCACGGTAGTTCTATTTTTAATTTTTTGAGGAACTGTTTTTTTTTTTTTCACATTGTTTTTCACAGTGATTGTACCAATTTACATTCCCACCAACATTGCATGGGGGTTCCCTTTTCTCCACATCTTAATCAACATTTGTTATTTGTTGCCTTTTTGGTGATAGCCATTCTGACAGATGTGAGGTGATACCTCGTTGTAATTTTGATTTGCATTTAACTGATAAGGAGTGATACTGAGCATCTTTTCATGTGTCTGTTGGTCACCTGTATGTTTTCTTTGGAGAAATGTCTTTTTAAGTCCTCTGCCCATTTTTAAATTGAGTAATTTGTTTTTTGATATTAAGTTGCATATCACATTTTCTTTATCCATCCACGGACACTTAGGTTGCTTTCATGTCTTGGCTGTTGTGAATAATGCTGAAATGAACATGGGAGTGCATGCATCTCTTTGAGATACAGATTTCATTTCCTTTGGGTATACACCCAGGAGTGGAATTGCTGGATCCTACGGTAGTTCTGGTTTTAATTTTTTTGAGGAAACTCCCTTCTGTTTTTCACAGTGGTTCTACCAATTTATATTCCAAGAGAGAGCACTTTCGTACAGGAATGAATATGTCCCTGGAAGAGCAGTGCTCACTGTTTGAATGGGCACCAAAAAGGACAGAACTGAGAGACCGGAGGAGGGGGACTGGAGCACGGAGAGTGGGAAACTGAGGGGCTTATGTCCCTGTTAACGGGTCCAGTTGTGTCCTCCAAGAGGGAACTGTTGAAGTGCTAACCCTTGATACCTCAGAACGTGCTCTCATTTGGAAATAGGGTCATTGCTGCTGTTACTAGTTCAGTTAAGATGAGGTCATCCTGGAGTAGGGAAGACCCCACTCCAATATGGCTAGCATCCTCATCAGAGGAGGAGAGGGACACACAGAGGAGGAGCTCCATGTGAAGATGGAGGCAAAGACTGGAGTGATACATCAACCAGCCAAGGGTTGCTCCAGCTGCCAGCTGCCACCTGCCAGGAGAAGCATGGGACAGATCTCTTCCTCAGAGCCTCCAGAAGGAGCCAACCCTGTCGATACCATGGTTTCAGACTTTTGGTCTCCACAGCTGTGAGAGAATACATTTTTTGCTGTTTAAGCCGCCAAGTTGGTGGCACTTTGTTATGGCCGCCTTAGGAAAGAAACTAAGATAGTTAGTTACCTTCATAGTTTGAATCTAAGACGCCTTCTTGCTCTTGGCTTCACACACCCACCACCCTGTCCAAACTGGTTCATTCATAGTCCCCACTCAGAGACACCTAGGCTCACTCTGTTATCTGGAAGACTTCCACATCTCCATCCTAACTCTGTAATAAGGAAGAGCAAATCTGATCCTGTCTTGAATCTGTTTCTTTTACTTTAAACTTTGCATCCTATTGCTTTCTTACTACAAGTTAATCACTAAAGGGATGTTGCTTGTAGATTAAAGTATTCATAATGGTCCATGTCTGAGAACCCTGCCTCCCATGTCTGAGCATTAAGCTAAAATACCTTTGCTTAGCTCACAGGAAACATCCTGATCAGACCTGCCTGTGGATGGCTGCAAGAAACAAGAAATTAACACATCCCCTCTGCAGTCTGAGTCTGGCCAGAACCAGGAAATACTTGCAACAATTTATCGTCTTTTTACTTTACCTCTTCACCTCCCCCGTATTTGTTCTATAAAAGAAACTAGCATCCAAACGTGGGCAAGATGGTTCTTTGGGACACTAGTCCACCATCTTCTCGGTCGGCTGCTTTCCCAAATGAACTCACTGTTCCTTGCCCCAACAACTTGTCTCTTGATTTATTGGCCTGTCATGCAGCAGGCAGTAAGAACTTGGACTCAGTAACATTTCAAGTCACAATTCAAGTCCCCTACCCTGCTATGCCCCTTTTCATGTTTATAATGGGAGCCAGGAAACACTTTCTGGCCCTGTGAATTAGTGAGTGGGGAAAAATGCTTTGGAACTAGTAGTAGAAGCTTTGGGGTGACATTTTCCCTCTTTTACTCATCTCCTCTCACATCCCCGTGGCAGTTGGGTGCAGAGACTCAACTCATATTAAGGAACAGTCTCGGAAGCATCCTCATGGGGGGCCCAGATTCCAGCCTGCACTGTCCCTGTAACCTTGGTCTCCGAGGGTTTCCTCGCAGGGTTGCTGAGGGTGGTGCAAGATCATGCACAGTGCCCTGCACGTCAGGCCCTGCAGCCCTGCCCCTTCTCACCTGACCCTTGGCTGTACACCTTTATTTGACTCATCCACTTCTCAGGTGAACAAACGTGGGCCTTGAGATGACACCTCACTCCTGGCCCCATACGTGATGAATTCTGTCTCCACTTCTTGAACTAAACTAAAAAGCTAGGACTCAGGGATAGGATCCTCATGGTTGGCCTGGTGGTTTCTTCACACACGACAACCACCTCTTTATTCTCCCTCCAGGCCCCAAGCAGTAGGATTTCCACAGACCAAGGGTCCGTGCCCTCATCTGACTCTCACTTATTCCAAGCCCCAGGCTCAGACCAGCCCTGCACGTCTGCACTCCTGGATCACGAGCTCCCTGGGAAATGATGGGTGGGAGTGCGGTGGCAGCAGCTGCTGTTAAGTCTTTTTTTATTTA